GCTCAGGGACCCAGGGTGGGGGTGGCGCTTCGTAGCCAGCCCGCCTCAGTGAGGGCGGTGGGCCTGCAGCAGTGCCCTTTGGGCAGGGCTGCTTGACAGGCAGGGGGCGGGGAGCCATTGAACCCCATCGCATAATGGAAACCGCTGCATGCCAGGAGTTGCAGTAGCCTCCTCCCCCAGAGCCCTAGTTCCAGCATTTATGGTTACTGAGGAAGCCAAAGCAGGGCAGGGATTTTGCAGGAAACTCAGTGAGGGCGGTGGGCCTGCAGCAGTGCCCTTTGGGCAGGGCTGCTTGACAGGCAGGGGGCGGGGAGCCATTGAACCCCATCGCATAATGGAAACCGCTGCATGCCAGGAGTTGCAGTAGCCTCCTCCCCCAGAGCCCTAGTTCCAGCATTTATGGTTACTGAGGAAGCCAAAGCAGGGCAGGGATTTTGCAGGAAACATAAGAATGGCCCTCCTGGGTCAGACCAAAGGTCCATCTAGTCCAGTATCCTGTCCGCCGACCTGGAGCAATGCCAGGTGCCCCAGAGGGAGTGACTAGAAAAGAGAACCAGCACTGATCCTTCTCCTGTTATCCATTTCAGCCTCTGGCAAACAGCAGCTAGGGACACCGTTCTTACCCATCTTGGCTAATAACCATTGATGGACCTAACCTCCATGAATTTATCTAGTTCTTTTTTGAGTTCTTCTAAAAGCCTTCCCATTATTTGGGATATATTTTTGATTATTCATGTTTCCATGGTGCCTCAGTCCTGGACCAGGATCTTACCGTGCTAGGCTGTGTGAATAGAACACGAAGCTGGCTCTTGTGTCAGAGAGCTTACAATCTGAGCATATGACAAGAGACTGGTAGATCTGGACAGATAGCTGGGAAGGACAAGGACACAATATGAGAGTAATGGTCAGCATGACAGCCAATGGTCTTGTCATGACAGCAGCTGAGTCACTGTGCAGTTTTTGTAGGCATTACAGTAAAGGAAGGTTTTGAAAAAGGATAATGAGGTTGATCTGCGGATGGTGAGAGTTAGCACCTCTCAAGCTTGAGGAGTGGCATGAGAGAGAGCACCAGGTGCTTGAAAGTTTAACTGGAGGGCAACAAAGGCAGTGGTAGCAAATGAGAATCGATAAATGGGATGGGGTTAGGTCACGAAGGGAAAGAAATGACACATAGCTAATCTTTTGGTACAATAGAGAAAGGGGTGCTATTTCCTCACAGGCTTTTACATTGCATGGTGCACCCACCCTCATACACCATACTTTGATTTTTAACAGGACTATTCACAGTAGTAAAGTTCTTCTTCAGCCCTCAAAACCTCATGATGCCATCTACATGTTTTGTCTATAAAGTGCTACCAGACCATTTGTTGTTTTTTTGTACAGACTTCACTCGGCGACCCCCTGAAGCTTCATTCTAAACTAGTTTCCTCTTGAGCCAGCCTCACCTTCCTGCCTGCCTCCTCCTACAAATTCATTTGTGCCCCTTGGATCTGGTTAACCTCATGCTCTCCTAAGCAAGTCTGATCTGGTCTAACACCTTTCCTCTGGTCCTCCCCATCTGGACTGGACTGGCTTCCATACTTCAGGGGGGGTGATTTGGACTTCTGAAGTCTCATTTGGTTCTTATACAATTAGACCTCTAGCTGGGCTTTCTGATGCAGATATTTCTTAGGGGCTGGCAGGGCTTGGAACTATTGTTAGTAAGTCAGAGGAATGAATGTTGGGACTGTGAGGTAATAAATTATGAAAAGTTGGCAAGACACGTAAAGCTGTAAGGGCCAAGTTTTCAGCCTGTCTCCAACTAGTGAATAGCTGCAGTCATCAGTCCCTGAAGGATGTATGCTTTTATTTAAATGTAAACATTTATAACTTTTTGCAATGAGGACCTGCAGCATTTGAACTGAATATAAACCAAAGCAGCCTTATCTGGATAAACTAAAACAATACTTTGCAGAGGGGGATAAAATGCTTCATTCATCTAAATGAAGTTGAATAACAACAATACTATTAACTATTTCATTAATAATTTTAGTAAACATATGAGTATTTCAAGTTCTCCAGCACTATCTAGTGGTGAGGTGATGAGGCTGACTGTCAAGGGCTGTAGATTTTTCAGATGGAGTGCCAACATATTTTCATTGTCCAAAGCAGTGTGATGTCACCAACAAACTTTGTTTTGGGCACTAAGTAATTCTGTGCTGAGCAGCTCCTCTGGTTAGTCTTCTGCTAGCTAAAATAGGACCAGCCAGGGGGCAGGTGTAGTGCTTCCAACCATGAGAAACAATACAAGCGATAGCTCTCCCTCTGAGTACCCTGCATCAGGGATTCTCAAAATTCATTGCATTATGACCCCCTTCTGACAACAAGAGTTAATACATGACTCCAGGAGAGAGGACCAAAGCCTGAGTCCACCTGAACCCCACTGCTCTGGGTTGGGGGGGGGTTTCAAATCCTAAGGTCTTCAGCCTCACGTGGGAGACCTGTAACCCTGAGCCTGGCCACCAATGCCTAAAGATTTGTCCACAGGTAGTGGGGGGGTCAACCCTCAGGCCCAGGCTCCAACAAGTCTACCGGCAACCCATTAAAACACTTTGGGGTCCTGACCCACAGTTTGAGCACTGCTGTCCTCCATTGTTCCTATTGTGCAATTAGAGGTGATCTAACATGCTATGCCATGTGTGTGTTAGAAATGTTTTACCACTTGGCTTACAAAATTTCTTCCTGAAATGTTCAGTGTCTGACTAATACGTACAGGGGCTGCAGTTAGTGCTGCATCCAGGGAATTAAATTATCATTCAGCTAATAGGGCGGGGCTGAGCTCTACCTCACAAAAGGCGTTTGCCGCAGACGCTGGCTTAGGCACACTAAGGCAAGAAAAATGCCTCCATTGGTCCAGGGGTGTGCTGTTTCATCAGCACCATGCAGTTCTTCCAGCAATAGTCTTTAAACCAGTGTTTTCCAATTTTATTTGGCCACGGAATCCCTAGGAAATCGACAGGACAGAAGGCTTTTGCCAGTAGAGTTATTCCTCTCGCATTTTCTCGAGAAACCAACCAACCAACCAACCAACCAACCAACACGCATTTTCTCGAGAAACAAACAAACCAACCACTGCCACATTTCGTCAAGGGGCAGGGGAGTGCTGGCTCTTCACAGAACCTAGGAGCACCAATTGGGAAACACTGCTTTAAACACTAGCAATGGGAGCAGGGCATTCTATCTTCCAGCTTCCACCTCCACAATTTAAAGTGTGGAATACCACTGGCTCTATTTACCCAACTCCCGAACACTCAGGCTACGTCTACACTGGCATGATTTTCCGGAAATGCTTTTAACAGAAAAGTTTTCCGTTAAAAGCATTTTCAGAAAAGCGCGTCTAGAAAGGTTTTTGCACAAAAGCCCTGCAGTATAGACAAAGCCTGAAAGTTTTTGATGTAAGGGGAAAATAACCAGACATTGAAAAAATCACTGTTGGCAAATGATAACTTGTTAATATATCAATATAAAGCAAGAAAAGTGGTGAAATGAGAAGAATTGAGAGAAAGGAAGGCACCCACAATATGTGGTAGGATATTTGCTATATACAACCCTAATTTTAATCTGTGATTTAGGTTGCTTGTAGCAAAAATAATTCTGTAAAACCTCTCTGCTTTGTAGGAGGCATTTGATCTTTTGGATGGTGCAAGTTCCTCAGGTGTTATTTTTCAGCAGTTGACTGGTATGCTAATGTACAGTGTCATATTTTGGGGTACAACAGAGACCAGTAAGGGGCTGGGTCACCGTAGGTGCTTTAAAAGCTCTGCTGTGACCCATAGATAGGAATCCCAACAGCCAAGCATGTACTTGTGGTACCTAAAGCGTGATGCACAGGCCTGGGTCAGTGCTTCTGCCAGCAATCTGCCACAACTCAGATACCCTGGGTGCATCTAGACTGGTAAGATTTTGCGCAAAAGCAGGTGCTTTTGCGCAAAATCTTGACGCCTGTCTACAATGGGTGTGAGTATTTGCACAAGAACACTGACTTTGTACTGTACAAAATCAGTGGTCCTTGCGCAAATACTCCGACACTCCTGCTCAGGGATAAGCCCTCTTGCGCAAGTATTCTTGCGC